GTGGCCAGAGGATTGGAGAAGATCAGTCTACATCCCAATCCCAAATAAGGGCAGTGCCAAAGAATGCTCCCAGCTACCGCACAATTGCACTCATTTCACAAGCTAGCAAGGTTATGCTTAAAATTCTACAAGGCAGGCTTAAGCAGTATGTGGACCGAGAACTCCCAGAAGTGCAAGCTGGATTTAGAAGGGGCAGAGGAGCCAGAGACCAAATTGCAAACATGCGCTGGATTGTGGAGAAAGCTAGAGAGTTCCAGAAAGACATCTACTTCTGCTTCATTGACTATGCAAAAGCCTTTGACTGGGTCGACCACAGCAAACTATGGCAAGTTCTTAAAGAAATGGGAGTGCCTGATCACCTCATCTGTCTCCTGAGAAATCTCTATGTGGGACAAGAAGCTACAGTTAGAACTGGATATGGAACAACTGATTGGCTCAAAATTGGGAAAGGAATTTAACTTATTTAACTTATATGCAGAATTCATCATGCGAAAGGCTGGGCTGGATGAATCCCTAGCCGGAATTAAGATCGCCGGAAGAAATAACAACCTCAGATATGCAGATGATACAACATTGATGGCAGAAGGGAGGAGGAATTAAAGAACCTTTTAATGAGGGTGATAGAGGAGAGCGCAAAATATGGTTTGAAGCTCAACATCAAAAAAACGAAGATCATGGCCACTGGGCCCATCACCTCCTGGCAAATAGAAGGGGAAGAAATGGAGGCAGTGAGATTTTACTTTCTTGGGCTCCATGATCACTGCAGACGGTGACAGCAGCCGCGAAATTAAAAGACGCCTGCTTCTTGGGAGAAAAGCAATGACAAACCTAGACAACATTTTAAAAAGCAGAGATATCACGTTGCCAACAAAGGTCCGTATAGTAAAAGCTATGGTTTTCCCAGTAGTGATGTATGGAAGTGAGAGCTGGACCATAAAGAAGGCTGATCGCCGAAGAATTGATGCTTTTGAATTATGGTGCTGGAGGAGACTCTTGAGAGTCCCATGGACTGCAAGAAGATCAAACGTATCCATTCTTAAGGAAATCAGCCCTGAGTGCTCACTGGAAGGACAGATCCTGAAGCTGAGGCTCCAAGACTTTGGCCACCTCACGAGAAGGGAAGACTCCCTGGAAAAGACCCTGATGTTGGGAAAGATGGAGGGCACAAGGAGAAGGGGACGACGGAGGACGAGATGGTTGGACAGTGTTCTCGAAGCTACCAGCATGAATTTGACTAAACTGCGGGAGGCAGTGGAAGACAGGAGTGCCTGGCGTGCTCTGGTCCAGGGGGTCACGAAGAGTCGGACACGACTAAACGACTAAACAACAACAACAACTCCTCTGCAGAGGAAGAAATGTCCCTGTAAGCGACAGCACAGGCCATCTACACGTAGGCAGGCCACACAGCTTTTTGGAGTGAACAAGAGGAGGATGAGATTTTCATCCAGAAAATAAATACATTTTAAATAACTTTCTAAACTCTGTTTCACGGCATGTTAGTGTGTCAGCTGCAATGTGTAAGTATGCTGTGCAAATGCTTCCTGCGCTCCTCCTGGGGCTGGATAGGGGTTAGTTTAACCTCTGGTTTGCTAGTGAAACTGAATTACTGTGTCGTAATATGATGTATGTCTAAAAGTGTGTCGCTAACATGAAAAGTTTGGAAAGCTCTGACTGAGCTAAGTAACAGCTACAGCTAGAACCATCATTCCTTGGTGCCTTTCAGTTGCATTTGAGCTGCTTTGCTTAAAAGGCCACACATGCAGCAATTCTGGACAATCCTCATTTCCAAAACAGCAGTGCATCACTTGTCACTATGAAGAATGCAGAAGTAGGGATTGAGGGAAAAAGAAAAACCACCTCAATTATCCTAGTTTAAATATTGCATATCAACATTTGCTAATGCCTTGTCCATTACAAATGGTTTTACTGTGGTATTATGGTGGTATTACATGTTACATATTACATGTTACATATTACATGTGGTAAAATGTAAAAAACCTCTACACCACATAAAGCCTGGAGCAATTGCTTAGAAGTAGCTCTCCTCTGAACCCACCTATGCGGGAATAGGGAACATATTCTGATATCCAGGCATGCTAGTTTGGAGAAAACAGTTCCCACCTTTTATTTGCTGGTAGTCTCCAAACTTCCAAATTAATCATTATTGATAATTTTAACTTTTAAGGAACTTTTGAACTTCCTAGCACCATCTATTTCTTCATCAGCTTAGACCAGGCTTCCTCAACCGCGGCCCTCCAGATGTTTTTTGTCCTACAACTCCCATGATCCCTAGCTAGCAGGAACAGTGGTCGGGGATGATGGGAATTGTAGTCTCAAAACATCTGGAGGGCGGAGGCTGAGGAAGCCTGGCTTAGACCAACCCTTGCTGGCTGGGTGACACCCACCTGCTTTAGAACTTCCATCATCTCCAGCAAAAACATCTGGAAGACACCAAGCTGGGGAAACGTGGATTCTGAAATGTCTTTTCAGAATGCTGCTGGCAAGACAGCATTATCAGGTACCAGTTACTTGGAATATAATTGGGCTCCAATTGCTTTCAAAGCCCAATTGAAAATGCTGATTATAAGCTCTAAAGGCTTGAGAAAATAGTGTGCTTGAAGAACTGCCTACCAATTAAAATCTACAGAGGATTAAGAACATAAATCAGAAGAACCTTGCTGGATGAGGTCAGTGGCCATCTAGTCCAACATCCTGCTCTCAGAGTGGCTGGACAGTTGCCTTTGGGAAAACAGCAAGTGGCCCCCTCCCCTCCCCAGGCTTCCAGCAACTGTTTTTCAGAAGCACTGCTGCCTCCTAGCCCTTATTTGATAGTGATAAGCACAGACCAGTTAACACTGACATGAAAAATGGCTTTCTCCACAGTACCACCTAGGCCTTGGCACTGCCTTCTACTCCACATTGCACAGTAACGGCATTTTTATTTTGATTTGCACTCCCCACTACAAGGTCACCGATACAGCCTCCCACTTTGGTTTTCATATGCTATCTTGATTGCTATACTTTATTGCCTACCTCTATTTTTTTAAAAGGTATAGTCAGTGCTCTCCTGGTCCCGACTAGAGACAGGGAACCTACACCCCTCCAGTTCCAACTCCCATTACCTTGGAGTGCTTGTGCAAATGAGAGTCCACACAGGGGACACCAGGTTTCTCACCCTTGGCCTATAGCTTGTGCATAAAGGAGTTACTGAATTATAGACGTAAATAAAATTTCTACAATGACAGCAGCCTATTTCACCCCATATAACATTGTGCTAAATTGTTAGATGCGGTGTTTTTAAAGCTAAACTGTGTGGCGTGCTTGTTAAAGGAGGCAGGAAAGAGAAAGCTGTACCCCAAGGGGTAAAAGGTAAAGGTACCCCTGCCCGTACGGGCCAGTCGTGTGCGACTCTAGGGTTGTGCGCCCATCTCACTCTAGAGGCCGGGGGCCAGCGCTGTCCAGAGACACTTCCGGGTCACGTGGCCAGTGTGACGAAGCTGCTCTGGCGAGCCAGCAGCAGCACAGCACACGGAAATGCCGTTTACCTTCCCGCTAGAAAGCGGTACCTGTTTATCTACTTGCACTTAAGGGTGCTTTCGAACTGCTAGGTGGGCAGGAGCTGGGACCGAAAGACGGGAGCTCACCCCGCCCGCGGGGATTTGAACCGCCGACCATGCGATCGGCAAGCCCTAGGCGCTGAGGTTTTACCCACAGCGCCACCTGCGTCCCTACACCCCAAGGGGTAGAGTTACGATATACAGGCAGCCCAAAACCACACATACTTTTAATGAAATGGATCTGCTTTTTTGGATATGAGACAAACTCTGCTCAAGAACATCTAAATATTAACCCTATCACTGCCACCCTTGGGGTGGTGCTGTGTGAATATACTGTCTGTACAGTGGTACTTTGGGTTAAGTACTTAATTCGTTCTGGAGGGCCATTCTTAACCTGAAACTGTTCTTAACCTGAAGCACCACTTTAGCTAATGGGGCGTCCTGCTGCTGCCGCACCGCTGAAGCACGATTGCTGTTTTCATCCTGAAGCAAAGTTCTTAACCCTAGGTACTATTTCTCGGTTAGTGGAGTCTGTAACCTGAAGCGTATGTAACCCGAGGTACCACTGTATTCCCAAAAAGCACTTGGAACCAGATCTCTCTCACACACTGAAGGATCTAGCAAAAATACTTTTTAAGGCTACCTTTAATACATGGCAATTCGTGTTTCCAACAACCCTAAAAATGTCTCTGGATGTCCACAGCCAGATACTTGGCCCTTGGGTAGCTAATGCTGTGGGGAAAGCACTTTATAGTTATTAAATTCAGCTGCAGTGATGAAATAAGTGAACTGGCAGGCATACCCTGTGTGAGCTTTAAACCTTCCCCAAGCGAGACAGAGCTGTCCCCACGTTCTAGAAACTGGATGGTATCAGCAACTGCCCAGATCAATGAATGGGTTGCTCCTCAGTTGGTTATCTTGATCAGCCAGTACCTAAATTCTTCTGTTTCTTCCCTTTAGGAGCAGGAGTGGCTAACACAGGCTCTCCAGCTGCTTTGGACTACAACTCCTATCAGCCACAGCAAATGACAATGGATGATGGGAGCTGTAGTCCCAATATCCAAGGGGACCACACGACAGCTTCCCCTGCTCTAGAGGAAAGTGCCTTTATGGTATATTTAGGCTCAGAAGAGACCACCACCCCCACACCAAATATGCTGTACCTCTTCAGTGGAAGCTGGTTTGTTAGCCAATTTTGGCTGAAAAGCAAACAGATGCTGCTAACAAGTGTGCTTCTGTTCCCAAGCAGAGTGAAAGCTTCAACAGCTTGTTTACTTCCGAGATTTCTCCCTTTATTTCACAGAAAGGCTGAGTATGATCATGGGTATCAACTTAAGCTTATTCCCATTTATCAATGATCTATAGATGAGCCTTCCTAGGCACTCTGAACCCTGACATGGTCAACATTCTTTGTCCCTGGGTGTCATTACAGAGGTTGGAGGTTGACAGCAGCATGTGTTTTTCTTTGTCTCCCATCCAAGTACTAACCAGGCCCGACCCTGCTTAACTTCCAAGATCAGATGGGTTTGGGTGCTTTCAGAGTGGTGTGGCTGCAGGCTTAAAAGAATTGTTTGGAATTTTGCTGGCATTTTTCATGTCCATTCTGAATGCATCACGACTCACACTAGACTTTGAAACTGCTTCCCAAAAGAAGTAAAATAACCCTAACACTGGTCTAATATAATAAATTATGAGTGTATTTAGAAACGATTACAGGAATAAAACACACACAACTCATGCTTTTGAAAGAGCGCAGAGCCTGGCGGAAATCTATTTCAGTACAAGTTGCGCCTTTAATCTTAAATGTTACAATACAAAATAATAATAATAATAATAATTGGTCAATGGCATAAGAGCAGTTAACTTTTATACACAACTTTTCTACGAAAACTGCATTCCTCCAGGAAGTTTTCAAATGCAACTGGATTGAATTTCAATTTGAGGGAGTATTTGTTCTTATACACAATAGTTACCGGTAAGTCCTTCAACACATCAATTAAATGCCTTTAAAAAAACAATAAAGGATCAAAAATAAAATGAAACTCAAAAAGGCTTCAGAAACGGAAGTCAGAAACATAAATCATATTCATGGAGTGCTTTTTGCCACATCCACGGCTAGTGAACCTTTCTGGTTTTCTGACCAATGGTCAGTATATTTCCTTTTGCAGTTTTGCCTCGAATTCAAAAGAGATAACAACATTTAGAGTGAACTTGCTAGCTTGCAAACAAGTATATATATATTTTTTGGTTGTGTTGAAAACAATAGGCTTTACTAGGACAACAGAAGAAATGAATAGAAATACCAAGATTCAATGACATCATAACTGGGATGTTAAGACTTGGCATAAATTAGGCTCCAGCAGAGCATTTGGAAGATTTTAACAGCATTTAACTTGCTGATATGCCAGGAAGCCTTAATCAAATACTAGAACATTCTCATATAGTGGTCACAAGACTCAAAATAAATACTGACCTCTTTCTATATTAAAAAAAGAACACAAAAAAACCAAAACCCAGAATCTTATTCTGCATTCTTCTTACAGCATACGGGATCTGTACATATTTTATTTTTGGACAAAACATGATGTGTTCCACGCAGCACAGAGCAATTGAGGTATGATGTCCAATAAAGGTGGCTAAATTCCATAGTGAGAGTTAAGCAGGAACTCTTAAATCTAAGACAGGTTGAGTGTTCCCCCACTCCTGCAGCCTCCAGAAGTGAAGACTTGGTTTTCAGTTGCCATTAGCCACGGGTAAAGCAGGGAGACTAGAAGAGGTGGTGAGTGGGTGGGAGCAGGGGGGAAAGAATGAACCACAGCCCTTTGGCATGAGTACTGAAGCTCACAGCTTATAGTCCACAGCAGCTTGAGTCATCTCCAGCAAGGAATGCTAGGCAGTAGAAACCATCTTAACAGGAATAAAGATCCAAATGGTTCAGCACATGCTCTTGGAGCTGCAGGATTCTTTTCTTTTTTTCCTATGCACTGTCTGCTTTTGCAAAAGAGAGGACAACAGATTCCCTCCATGGTTCTTAAGTGAAGGTAAATGCAAAATGCACTTCTTTACAGTCTTCCTATGGCACAGTCATGTCTGCTTTGCACGTTAAACCTTCTGTCTTTCCCTTGCTGCACAAAATCATTGAACCTAACATATTCCGCATCTTGGAAGATTCATTTAGTCCAGAAACCATGCTTCCTATTTCAATGTTTGCTGTTGTTTTGACACTGTACACATTTACATCTCATTTGTATAGTGTTTCAGGGTAGGTGTGTTGTTCTCTCCAAACACTGCAGACTAACTAGCTACATAATATTGACATGCCGCTCATCGAAGGCTCACACATGAACACTTCTGGCAGCTCAATGACATTTCTAACAGTCAGGCAGTAAAAAAAAAAAAAGGGAGGGGTCCCAACCCCTTTCAGACTTTATAAAGCCTTTTTTAAAAAACAAAACAAAACAAAAACAAAACTTAGAAATCATGGATGTCTTATTCATTCCGTTTAACTTGAACCTGTTTAAAAGATGACAGGGAGGGAGAGAGCAGATTTTAAAATAGTACAGAATAAAAAAAGAGAAAAGCAGGTTACTTAACTGAACATGACAGCTACGTTTACTGGCAGAAAGGCAGAGTTTTTCGTAAAGTTAGCTAAGGTTGAGAAATATCCCTGGATTCTTTTGCAACAGGGATTTTTTAAAAGTAAAAGGATTTTTTTTTTAAGTAACAAAAACTAACCTAATCATTGGCAATTGCTCAACTTAAAATATACCACAAATAACTACACTATTTCAACTGTGGCTCCCCTGGAGGGCTGGCAGGTGAGAACTTCCATACCTAGTTTCCATTGAGCTGCTGCGAAACTCCACTATGGTCAGCTATTGACCTCTCACGGCTTTTACTCTCTCGCTCTTCGTCCTCTTCATCTCGCTCATCGTTTCCACTGTGGTTTTTACAGTAAAGCCTAAGAAGACAATACAAAGTGGGGGGGGGGGGACAACCCATGTCACAGGGTGTTCATCTAGTCCAGTGCGTGCCATTGTGATCATGTTTACGTTTGCTTTTTAATGTATTCCACCAGTTGCGTTTTATGAGCTATTGTAAAACCAACCTGAAAATGTTTAATTTAAGACCAGGGATAGAAATGTTTTAAATAACCTAAATGAATGGGTAAATATTCTTAGGGCAAGCCAAACAGATTTAGTGGTTCTAACTTTGAGATGGGCAAGGCTATCGTGTCTCTCACTTGTGCATTGCTTCCTTGCTGTTGTCACCAACTATCAATAAATGGGGCTAAGGTTCCTCAATCACTGTAAAGCTAATGGGGGGGGGGGAGAGTAGGATGGGACTGATCTCTGAAGGTATTAGTAGTGAGGCTGAATTTGACCAAATCCCTTTCTTCCCTTGCAGCAAAATATCTTCCACCAAACTACTGTCCAGAGAATAAAAAGACTTTGGAGTGTTTGACCAAATCTGTGCTAATCCAGTTCTTGCTGGTCCTTCATGGGTCTATTATACATAGAGATAAGGTCACATGCAGATCCCACAATAATTCCTAACCCCTTCAGAGCAGCCAGGCTAATCTAAAAGCCTAATATGCAATTGTGAAATACAATGGACCATTGCCATTTATTTGGGTAGTTACATAAGGGAGTGTGGAAAGTATTCATCTCTGTTCAGTATTCAGTAGCATATAACGGGTGAAATGGAGACAATAAATATCTAGCATCTATTTGGTATTCAGACAAGTCCTACTCAAAGTTAACCAACTAAAATTAATGTACATTATTTTAAATCTTTTTTTCCTGAAAATTTTCCAGTGCCCTATGTCTACTGGAATCTCATTTAGCACTTACTTAGCACTGATTTAATCAACAAAACTAAAAGAAGTATAGCATTTAAATTTTATATGCTATTTAAAATCTCTCAAGATTTTCCAGTAGCCAAAATATTTGTACTGGAATATTTGATTAGGGAGAAAAATAAGCACTGTTGAACTACACTAATAGCCCAATCCAAGCATGTCTATTCAGAAGTAAATGGCTCCTTTACTCAATGGGACTTATTTTTCATCAAATGTGTACAGAAACAACCTAATGAATCTTACTTTTAATTAGATACAAAAATGATCACTCTGCGTTATACTCAATCCAATTCAAAGCTTATTTCTAAAACACATTTTACTGAAACACTTGTAAATATTATAAGCCATGTCAACTCATGGCATGTGTTAGTTTATGTGGCTTAAATTAAGGAGCTGGGGGGGGGGGCAGAATGAAGGCACCAAAAACCATTAGAGTACTAATTCTAACATGGTGCGCGCGCCACACACACACACACACACACACATATATATCACAGCCACCTGAATAAAGTTCACTACAATTCTCAAGCTGTCCATGTACAGATATATTTATTTACATACATAATGTATACCCCCAATGAATACTTCAGTACGTATTCTTGTTCCCAGCATGGCTAACAATAGCAATAAGCATACAACTAAAAATCTATTATTAATTAATTTTATTTTGGGAATATGTTTTTTCCAAGTCCCAACAAAAAATACATAGCAGCTGAAAGCTTTGTGGGAGCTTTTCTGCTTCACACCACTGCTTGTTAAGATGCTGTCTTTGGGTGTGAAAAGCACGTGTTGAACTCAATCCATTGGCCATGGCTTTCCTTCCAGGTTCCTAATACTGCAAATTCTTTAGGAGGAACTAACTGAATCAGTTGGGCACAAAAAGCCAGAACTAAGTATCATTCTATCCTCCCTGCACTGCAAAGCAATCCAACAAGACTGTGCTCAAGACGTCTGAAGGCACTTTCCAGGTAAATCAAGCTAAGACACTCAAAGAAGGAAAAACAAATAAGGCGACATGAAGCCAAACCACCAAATCTGAAGAGACAGAACTTGCACCACACTGTTTAGGAAATGCCACTTTGTGACCAACCTTTGGGGTCAGACACAATGGCAATAAGGCCATTAGGCAATTTGGGTGTGAACCTGGGGTGCTGGAGAGCAGTCATCCGTAAGAAGAACTGTCATAGGAAACTGCAGTTGATGTTGAAACCACCTAGAAAGGGTCAGAAGGCAAGTGATGGCCTGAGCTCCCAGAGAGACAACACTGGGCTGGACAAACAGCCTGATGTGCTGTCATCTCACTTTGGCCATCACTTTCAGCAAATCCCTTCTCAGCTTCCATTTGCTATTTGCTTTGGGAGGGGCGCGCGCGAAGAAATAACTGCATAAGAACTATTCAGCTAATTATAAACAGGAGTGGGGAGCTTGTAGCCCTCCAGATGTAAGTAAACTCAATTCAGCTCAAGCCAGCGTGGCCAATAGATGATGAGAGTTGTAGTTCAGCTACAAGGAAGGTCACAGGTTCCCCATCCCAGGTACAGAAAACGCTATTAATACAGACCCACTAAATCAGAGGTTGGGAACCTGTGGCTCTCCAGATGTTGCTAGGCTACAACTCCCATCACCCCTGACCACTGGCCATGCTCAGCAGGGTTGCTGGAAGTTAGAAGCCACCTACAACTGAGGACTGCAGACTCCCCACCCCTGCACTACATTTAGGAACACAAAGAACATGGTTGTAGAGCAACATTTCAAAAGCATGCTTTTTAATACATTAAAACATACAAGTTTAACTTTGGCAGAATGACTTGCTAATTTCAAAACAGAACGCTTACTGGAAACATTATTCTTCGTTAAGCATAGTGAAGAAGTCTACAGTCTTCAGTGGAACAAATTGAAATATACTGCCTCATGTGAGTTTCCTGTTGGCCAAAACATACATGCCTCTCTATTCACATCAGTTCAACTACATAGAAATGATAACCCCATGGCCAGCCTGCCCTATGCTCCAGTAAAGTGTGTGGCAAAGTAAAAGAGAATGGCATTTACTTGTAAATTCCTCGTGACATGTTCTCAATGTATTTTGCTTTGTCTTGCACTCCACAGTGGTAATGGTAAGTCTTGATACAGGCTTTGATTTCGCATCCAATAGTTGCACCAGACTGACTACAAAGGGTGCATTTCTGTTATACAGAGACATTAGAGGGAGGAGACAGAGACACACACACACACACACAGAGAGAGAGAGGGGTAGGGGGGAGAGAGAGAGGTATTAATCTATATCTTCCTGCTTCACAATAAATTTCATATTCTTAAAGTTCTCATTTCTGGTAACATTTTTCAACAGCATGCAAGCAGTTTGCTGGGGAATTCATGTTATTAAAACTTTTAAAAGTAGATACAGCCGCTCAACATGCATTACTTTCTATCGGCAGTAGTGGCTAATGTGAGAGACCAGGGGAGACTTGGCTCCAAACCTCTGCTTTACTACAAAGCTTATTCTGTCACTTTGGGTCAGTCACTGTTCTCAAGTCTACAGTTGCTGTGAGAAGAAAGGGTGCAAGGAATCATGTCTGCAGCACTCAGCTCTTTGGAGAAGAGGCAGGTGGGTGGATAGGTCAGGCTCAGACAAGAAGGACATACCATTCTTTTCCCTCGTTTGATTTCTTGAAGTACAGTTTTAATATCAAAATCACCAAACTCTGCCCTTGAAGTTGTTGTCAATTGTACAGTGCCAGAAGAGAACAGCTAGGAAGAAAGGAGAGGCAAAATATTAGGAATGTGGGAAACCTTGGCTGTGTGGGACGTCAAAAAAGGACATGTGACAGGCAGATGGCGATGTGCTGAGGCTTTAAAAGGGGTATGGGCACATTCACTGAGGGGAAAAGAGATCAGTCAATGACTACTAAGTATGCTAGCTATATAGGTTCAGAGGCAGTACACAGTGAGGGGATAAGTCTTGGCTTCAAGGCTTGTTTATAAAGGCATCTTGGAAACATCTGGCTGGTAACTATGGGAAAGAGGATGCTGGACTAGATGAACTTTTTGTTTGACCCTGAAGCACTTTTTATGTCATTAAACTAGGTGGCACCGTGAAGTGTGCAAGCCCTGGCTGGTAGACGGCTATATTTCAAATTAATGTGAAGCTCTGAGGAGGTGGACATCCAGCTTATGATACTATGTCATGGGAAAAGTTTCACTGAAAATGTTTGAACTCCCAGAGAATAAGGACAAAATGACTTTTCTCACCATGCACTTGTAATGTGCAGCTGCCTTTTTGGCATTGAATATATGAAGCTTCCCTCGAGCTTCATTTTCTTCTTCACCTGCATGACAGAATCCACATTTAGGTTTTGTATCACTGGGGCTGCTTCTGTGTGGCGATCTGTCTCTCTGGAAGAAAAAAACTTTTCTAAAATGTGCCAGAGCAAGAAATATGGTTTCAACACAAGGCAACAAAGTAAGTTCATTATAAAAAAGAGACCTAGACTTCTTTGAGAGGTTTATAAACAAACATAGAAGGCACTTACATAAGAACTGCTTTCTACATCATCTGTGCCATGTGAAGATGTGGATCGAGTATCTTCTGGCTGCCCTTTGAGACTCAATTTTCTGGGCCTTCCTTTGCGCCCCTTCTTTTTGGGAGGGGATGTTTCCAACTCATTTAGTTCATTTAAACCTTCTCCTAAATCTGAAGGAAGAAAACCCCCACACATAAAAAGGCTAGAATGGTTTTTCACAAGCTCCTGTAGGGTACACACCCACTGGCACAAAAGATTGCCTGGGGAGGAAAGCAGGGCTTGCTTTGACACGGCAGCAGCAATTTATTGGGCTAAACCCAGGCTACTTTTTAATTATTTGAAAACCTGTGTTATAAGACCCCAATGTTCCCCACTGCCATAATCACAATAACCTGGGAAAGCAAGTTCCAAATAACTTATGTAAGCTCACTTCCAGTTATAGGAAGGGAGGAACTGATACGGCTAAAGTTCTCCCATGTTCACTTCTCCCATTACTTCTGAATATACATAACAGATTCCCAGAATAAGCAGCCAAAGAGCAAAAACAAGTATTTTCTTACAGTGTTCCTTGAATTAAACAGTGCAGTTATTAGAATGTCTACTCAAACCATTAGGGCTTGCTTATTCTGCTTGTTCAATGTACTGTACACTGAATAGATTGTTGTTCTGTTCTTGCTAATAAGTCTTTTGAGACAAGAAAACATGCAGGCTCCCATTTCTCTAGAGGTCAAAGCACACTCTGCTCATGGAGTTTTGATTAAAAATGTGGACACTTTTTCAATGAGCCCAACTTCAGCCACACACCAATAGTGAGGGAACAACCAATAGTGAGGGAACACACCAAAGGCTGAGGGAACAGCCTTTTTGGTATTTTTGAGGGAAAAGTAATTCCACGTGTGCAGACAGGTTAGAATTCACAGTGGAATTTAGGCCAGATAATGGAACATGTTAGGTAAAGGTAAAGGGACCCCTGACCATTAGGTCCAGTCGTGACCGACTCTGGGGTTGCGGCGCTCATCTCGCTTTATGGAACATGTTATACACAGCCAATTCCTTTTTTTTTTTTACAACATTAGTGTGCAAATTAATGCATTCAAATCAGAAACAAAGCTAGACACCACACCAGCAGATAAACTTTGAGAAACTCGTCTCTGTAGTGTTAGGATTTAGTTCAGAAAGAAAGCAACACATCATAAGGTTTATAAACTCTTGCAAATAGTAGTGAAAGTGTGAAGAGAACTTTTTCCTCCTACTCCCATAATACTAGACCATCACACAATGTGCTACTGGTTGCTAGAATAAGATGTGCTGATTGCTTAAATGGCATTAAAAGACAAATTCAGAGAGGATGATAGGCCCATGTGCAACCTCAGTTTTCAGAGGCAATGCTATGCTATGGTTTAGTGCAGAGCTTTCCAAACTTTTCACGTTGGTGACACACTTTTTGGACATGCATCATTTTGCGACACAGTAATTCAGTTTTGCTAGCAAACTGGAGGTTAAACTAACCCCTTTCTAGCCTGGTGAGAAGTGTGGGGAGCATTCATTCGACACACCCACACACTGTAGCTGACACACTAGTGTGTCACGACACAGTTTGGAAAGCTCTGGTTTAGTGATCCGTGGACAAGCCTCCCATTCTCCTCCTTCTACCACTTCAGCAGAGATTAGTGTCACTTTAGAAGAATAGTGACTTGCCATGTCATAGGACCCAGGAATTCTGGCTCAAACCCTGATTAGCTGAGCTGGCTTTTGGCTTGTTTAAGGACTCTTCTTTGCTTATACTTGTGATCAAGGAAGGTTTACTCAAAGAGTAATTTATTTCATATTAATATGCTTCTGCCCTCATCCTATTTTCTCTTGACTGGAAAGCGTGTACTATTTGATGCAGAACTACTTAAAACAATGAGCTATGAATAATTTTACCTTCAGAGTTGTGTGGTGCTTTCTTGTGTTTTCGACATAATATCCTAGGGATAGAACATTGGAGAGAGCAAAGTCAGCCACAAAGGAAAAGCTTTTATATCTGCTTAGAACTATACCGTCACTAACAAGACTTCAAGGCACTTTGCACTGAAAGAAATCCACCTCAGAAAATCTCTGCTTAAGTACGAAAGTTGGTTCCTTTAATGGTGGAGAAATGCAAGTGGTTCTTACATGTAAATGCCTTGAGAAGGTTTCTCTCGGATCTGAGCTTTATCATGCAACGCACAATAGTAGTGATAAGTCTTGTGGCAGGTTTTTACATCACAACCAACAGTTGCTCCAGGACAGTGGCATAAGGAGCACATCTGAAAGCAGGAAAAAGACACACATTTGGAACCTTTCTTCTTACCAGCAAAAGCGATTAGAGCAGAACTGAGGGAAAGGAAGCTTATTGCACTGAATTGGTACTGCTATTTCTGTTGCATGATACTTTAGAATGTGAAAAGGAAGCTGCACCAAATTAAAGGCAGAGGAAATGTGTATTCAGTCCGAATAGACAGGGATTATACTGTACTTCAGTTTCCATGTTAAGTCTGTTACAGCAAAAACACAAGTTAAAGGCACCTTAAAAAGCAACTAATTATGGTATAATAGCTTTTGAGCACTATGGTCCATGAAAGCTTATGCCATTGTTGGTCTAAGGTGCCATTAGACTCTGAGATATTCTACACTTATATATCACCTACTAACTCGGATAAGTAGCAAAGCTACACTTCTGAGTTACACTGTGTGTATCTATCTGGCACACACATGATCTTCAGACACTCCACTGAAATCAAGAGGAAATGCAGAAGCCCCAAATACAACTAGCTTTGTATATTAGGCAAGAAGTGAAACAGTCTGTATTTAAGTAGCTGCCGAATTAATCCATGATTTGCAACACAATCCAATCACTTTAGGAAACTTATCGGTGTACAAAACAACTTCTATTAAATTCTTTTCAAGATCAGATGTTTGGCAATGCAGACAATTCTGTTACTGAAAACAGCTGCAAAACTACTGTTGAGCACAAAAGCAGCATAAGAGAGTGTTTGCCTCCTCCAAACACTGTTTTGTTGCAGTAGCTGTTCTCCTATGGCAGCTTTCTACACAAATACATTACAGTGCAGTGGTATAGACACACACACACACACACACACACACACACACAGGAGGGGGTTTCTTCAAGAACAGTGGCAATTCACTTTAAAGCTCCCTAGACCTTGCTGTGCCAGAAAATACATTCACAGGATGGAGCAGAATGACCCAGGGGTGTTGCATCCCGTTTTGCAACTGGAGATGAAATGGCAATGTGCTGCCCCCTTCCTGCTGCCCACGTCATGTCTCTCTTACTTGCACTGCATGCTGGTGCAAAGCGCTGGCAGTGGTATCACCTTCCAGCAAAACCTTGTGAGATCTCACAATCTCTGGAAGAGCTCACAAGATTTCAGTGAGACCTTCCTGGAAACTGGCACTGCTGCTTCTCTGCTGGTAGTTTTATCAACTTACTGAACAAAATTTCATTTCGAGTTGAGCTTTTTCACTTTCAAGAGCTAGAAATGCCATCTTACCAGCTTGGTACCTCTTTTTATTTCCTTTTCAATGTCTTCAATGGAAAAGCCTCCAAGACTCTCATTATCAGAGTGTGAAGATACCAAAGCAGATGAAAAAAGCTAAAAAGAGACCAAAAGAGAGAACGAGCTAATTGTGACTTCAGGACTGATTAAATTAAAGACAATATCAGAACTTCTACATTAGAGAGAGGTTTCTTAACATGCAGTACTATAGGAAGTTATGAATATATAATGTTCTGTTCTAAAGCGTTTTAATGGGCAGTATGATCCTATGCATAAGCTTACTTGGACATCAGTCCTATGAATTCAACAATGTTGACGCCTGCCTGTGGGGGGGGGGAATCACACTAAAAATAACAATGAGGGGCAATTGAGGGGAGAATTATCAGGGTGGAGGAAGCCTCAAGTACCCCCTCCCACCTGTCAAACTTCTCTTAGCCCACTGCAGCAGTGTTCTGCCCTAAGAGCAGCTTCCAGCAGTGTTTGGGAGCACTTACCATACACTTATGATGTGCTGCCACCTTCTGGTTTTCAGAAAGCAGTAGCTGCCCACATTCGTTATCTTTGTTGGATCTGCAGAAGCCGCACTTGCGCTGCCTGCCGGGTCCCTTTTTCTGTCCAGCTGCTGCCGACATGATTCTTACAGCAGTTCGAAGAATGCTACTTCAAGCCTTGTCAATGCAACACAGAACAACAAAAAAGAGGGTACAAACAATCATGTTAGCCTCTCTCTAGTTCACCAGCTATTTAGCATTCCTTATCAAAAGCATCTTCAAGATTTAAAATGCCTGGTGGTGGACCATGGTGCTTCCAAGTAAATCTGCATGTTGCCAAAGCAGCCCTTCTGCAAGGAATGAAAACTGACAAAAACCCCAACAGGAAGAGTGCCCAAATAAAGAAAGTTGAAAAAAGACAAAGAGCATTTGAGAAGAATGGATATCATACCATCTTGAACTTAGAATGCTATAAATCAGTCTTGAGCCCCACCCTGCTTTTGCTATTGATTTATTTTAAGCTGCCCTAGGAAAGTCAACTGTATTTTAATACAAATTTTTAGAAAATATTGTAATAGAAAGCACCCAACACTGCACTCATTTGCAGGCTCAGCTTGTAAATAACAGAGGATCAAAATGTATCTTGTGGCAAACTGCTGATGAATGATTTAATTTGCTCATCCATGGGGTATGCACGTTACAGAAAGCATCAACATCTGAGCTTGTCAGGTAGAAATGTTCATCCAATTAGTTAAAATGTGGCTATCTGGTACCAACCAGATTTCCCAATCATTCTAAAATAAGAATATTAGAAGCCTCCAAGTGACCAGGACATCTGCCATTGCCTCATTGAGAGTCACGCATGCAGCTACAAACTCATAAACTTGTGCAGTATGATACAGATCAGCACTATGGCATGCATAGCTTTCTCATGTATGTGCAAAGAGCTACAGGAGTTTTGGCCAGAAGACTGAATGAACCACACAAGCACTAACAGCACAGCGCTATGCCACTGAGCAGGTAACACTCTGGTCTTCGGAAGCTGTGCATGTGGTTCTGGTCTTGACATCACACTTGTAATCATGTGAAGAACACAGAATGTCAACCATTCTTTGCAGCAACATCCAGAAGCTGTATGTGCACATGCATGTGTGCGCGCACACACACACGTTTTATTCCCCCCACCAAATAAAGTAACTTCTTTGTTGCATCATACCAAGAGCCTACCTCATCCAACATCCTGCTTCTCACAATGGCTGGGCAGATCATTCCAGGAACCCTACAGCTGGGGCTTGAAGCCAACTGCCCTCTCATTGTTGCTCCCCTGCAACAAGGTCCAGTGGCATCCTGCATATGGACATGGGCAGTCCTTGTAGCCACCAGGGCTAATAAGCCTTTGACACAATGCTCCATTATTTTCTCTAACCCTGTTTTAAGGCCATCAACACCACAGCTTGTGGCAGCTTGTGCAATGTATTGCTCTGCTTTCCTTTGGACCACATCAGTGAGGCCGGGGTGTGTGTGTGTGTGTGTGTCTTGTCGTCTGGGCAGCCCAGGATCTCCATGTCCACTGCCCAGGTTTGTGCCTGGGAAGGTCACTTCAGTGCTACTAACATAGCAGATTGACTTCACTCCTGGAGGCACACTTTATTGTCTCTTGAGACAGATGCTAAGAACTGGTGCTTCTTTGTCTAGCCTGAATCAGCTTCTTTTGATGCTCCAGTCTAGTGTTATGTATAGTATTATGTATTATGATGCTCCAGCCTAGTATTATTAGTATTATTCTAGTATTATGACAGGTGCAGATAACAATGACAACCACCACTCACTTTCCCCACAGCATCATGGCCGGGTGCCCCCCCCCCCCCAAATGTGGAAAGCATCAGATTTTGGAACCTTTCCTTTTAGCAGAGTGGGTTTAGCTTCATAATAATTTTGGTTGCCTTTTCTCAGCTCTAATGTATCCTTTTTGAGATGGGATGACTTCAAACATATTACCACCACCATCTTCTTCAGTTATATCCCACTACTCCTCCAGGTGGTGTACATCAGTGGTTCCCAACTGGGGGTCCGTAACCCACCCAGGGGGTCCATAGCACCATTCATATAACAAAAACTACCATAGAGATATCAAAATTTTCAAAAGCTTGGCTTTAGAAAAACGGGTCCACAGTACTTAGATAATTGGGAACCATTGGTGTACATGTTTCTCCACCTCTCTACATATCCACAAAATAACTGAACATTTTGGAGCTGGAAAAAGTATGTTAAATTTCTAGGGAGTGATAACTAGTTTTGTGGCAAATGACTGAAGTGATTTTTTTGCCAGCTCTGGCAAAACATGTCACCCTTACTACTTTTATTTCGTCACAATAAAGGTAAAGGTACCCCTGCCCATACGGGCCAGTCGTGTCCGACTCTAGGGTTGTGCGCTCATCTCACTCTAGAGGCCGGGAGCCAGCGCTGTCCGCAGACACTTCTGGGTCACGTGGCCAGCATGATGAAGCTGCTCTGGCGAGCCGGCACCAGCGCAGCACACGGAAACGCCATTTACCTTCCCTCTATAAAGCGATACCTATTTATCTACTTGCACTTAAGGGTGTTTTCGAACTGCTAGGTGGGCAGGAGCTGGGACCGAATGACGGGAGCTCACCCCGCCGCGGGGATTCAAACCGCCGACCATACGATCGGCAAGTCCTAGGCACTGAGGTTTTACCCACAGCGCCACGCGCGTCCCTATTTCGTCACAATATATGTGGTCATTTGTTGACCCAGTAACAGGAGCTCAGCTCATTACCAAAAATACAGGCTAACAGAAGAACAAAAAAATTTATTTATTTATTTATTGTTGAAGGGTTTATATTGGGCCTTTCAAAACATGCCCCCCAGGCTTACAATCAGTATCATATTTTAAAATGAATACTGAGTATTTTCACACTTCAGAAATGCAAGCACAGCAAAATGCAAGATGAGGCAAGAAATTTAATAAAATACTTCAGCTTCCAACATAACAATTTCTAAGGCATCTAATGAAACTAACAGAACTGTTGCTAAGTTTGTGCTTTTTACTTAAAATTTAGTTTGTTAGTGCCTTTAATCTTCAAAGTATCATAATTCTAACACTGTTTGACATTTATAAAAATCAAGCAAAACTTTCTAGAATGAGATGTTTGACTACCCTTGTTCAGAATGCAATAAAATTTTCCATTCTTTTGAGATTTTTTTAAATGAAAACTTAAATATTAGTCTAAACCACTTTGAACCTTCGAGAACAATCCTTGTTGCACTCTAGTGTAATCAATAAATGCCTCGGTTATGCAGATAGACACAGATCCATTTCTGATTGGTTGGTGCCACCACGGCAGTAAACAGTTAGGCAGTGGCATGGAACCTGTGGTCCTCCAGACATCATTGGACTCCTCCTCCACCTCATGATCCCTGGCTACTGACCATGCCAACTGGCGTTGCCAGAAATGGTCCAGCAACATCTGGAGGACCACAGGTTCCTCACTACTGGCTCATGCCCATCCCTCAGAGTGACCTCCTTAACCTTCCCTTGTATAAAAGCAACAGTAGCAATGCACTCCTTCTGAAGAAAGTTTCAAATACAGTGGTGCCTCGCAAGACGAAATTAATCCGTTCCGCGAGAGTCTTCGTCTAGCGGTTTTTTCGTCTTGCGAAGCAACCCTATTAGCGGCTTAACGGATTAGCGCTATTAGCGGTTTAGCGGCTATTAAAGGCTTAAAGGCTTAGGGATTAGCTGCTAAAAGGCTATTAAAGGCTTAGCAGATTAGATAAAGGGGCGAAAGCGAAAAAAATCTCAAGACTTGCAAGACATTTTCGTCTTGCGAAGCAAGCCCATAGGGAAATTCGTCCTGCGAAGCAACTCAAAAACGGAAAACCCTTTCGTCTAGCGGGTTTTCCGTCTTGCGAGGCATTCGTCTTGCGGGGCACCACTGTATCTGGAGGACACCAAGTTGGGGAAGTCTGCTGTATTCACTGGCCTTTGCAATATAGTTGCCTTACTTGTCCTCACAACACTGTCCTTGATTTATGGGGAGATGCTGGAGCTCAGTGGAGGTAGAGCATCAGCTTTACATGCAAAAAAGGCCCCAGGTTCAATCTCCTGGCATATTCAAGTAGGACTAGGATATGTTGCTCTCTGAAGTCTTGGAGTGATGCTATGATCAGTGTACATAGTACTGAGCTAAACAGACCAGTGGGATGACTTTGTATGAGGTGGTTTCCTATGTTTATGGCCTACAATGTTTTTCTCTTTAAAATCCAGTTTTAGTTCAAGCTTTCCTGCAATATAATCTGAAAAAAACACCAACTGAACAGGAACCACCAACTTTAAAAAGTCAATGCACCATAGAAATCTGAATATGTACACACATTCCTGAACTGGAAACTCTTCTGACAATTTCCCAGCTAATAACAGAAGTCACATGCCACTTTACACAGCATAAAAGTTTCTTCCAGAAACATCAACAGTAGCAACACAATGGTTTCAGACTAAAGGTTGCCACTGCCTATAAATGCATTCCAAAGATACTTAATTTGCCAACCCAGAATCCCAACTTCTTACTTGCAAGACTACTCAGGAATCAAACATGTATGTTTACTGAATCAGGGCCTTAAGCATCACCAATATGTTCTAGTGGATTCTTTATGAAGGTTTGATAACTACCATGATGTATTTAGCAGAATAAAACTGGGGAGGGAACCCCACCTCCTTTCAAAACAATATTCAAGGCTTTATTTCTCCATAGCATGGCTTTATGGGTACAAACAAAGATAGAAATGTGACCATTTCCCCCTATAAATGCCTATTGTGTCTTAAGCCCTTCTTGTGGCCCCACTGCACTTTTCTAAATGGCTCATTTCTAAGGCATGCGGGGAAAGGCTGGCTCAAAAAAAGCTTCAACCAGCAGGCTATTTAAAGGAGGAAAAGCAGCAGTGATGTCACCTAAGCCATGGAAAGGAGGGAAATTCAAGAGCTGGTCTTCATGCTCCATTTAGCTGTTAGAGTCAAGTCCTAGCCTGTCATTGCTCCAAGAGGACAGGGCTTCAGAGGTCTCAAAACGGCCAAACATTTTAGTATGATTGGGTATACTTCACATTTACGTTATAACAAAAACATGCTTAGGATTTCCTGGGTTTGCAAGAAATCTTGCAACTGAGAAGTAATGCAGTAGCAACATACAAAGAGGAATGTAGGCAAATGAGCAGGTGCTTTTGGACTGAAAAAAATTGTGGCACTAGCATTATTTCTGAAATTGATCACTGGAAATGTTTATGCTTGGCTTTCAGAAATGTAAACAAAGTAACTATGGAACAAATGGCAAAATTCTTTTTGGGACTGCAAATTAATGCTCCAAGAATGTGTCTGAAAAGGGTTAGCATCCATGGTGCCAACTGTGAATACTATGGCATTCCCCTTTAAAGCCCTGTAACAAAATACTAGAAAATAGAGAATAGAAGTGCTTAACTTGACCTGGATTCTGCTGTGTGTGTGTGTTTGTAGGAAAAGATTAATAGTCAGATTCAAAGCAGTAAATGGAAATCACATTGATTTAGGCTTCCAGCCCTATGTAAAAATAGTAGACTTTAAAACTGTGTTGCCACTTAAAGATATTTGTGCAACAGAAACCCTAGTTTTGTTACAGTGCACTCAACAGGGAACTTTGGTCAATCCCAGCTAACATGTTCATCCTTTTGATAGACAAGCTGGCAGACACCCATTGCCCACTGGTATGCTTTTATATCTTCATAAGTATGTGCAGAATTTTTATTTGCACACCCAAAACAATTATATGCAATGGGTCTCAAACACTTGGGGTGTATTTATTGGGTGAATCAGCAATGGGAGCCACAAATCACAAGCCAGAGCGCTACAGATATCCAAAGCAGGCAAATAAGCACCTGTGCTTTTTCCACTTCTGCTGTGTACATACAATTGACAATGGCATTAGCCAGGCACACTCTGTGCCAGCTCCTCAACATATGTGCTTGTTCTCCATTGTCAGTCAGGCACAATTCAACCTTGAAGTCCCTAAATGGCGTTGGTACAATATATTTTAGGGAACTGCTACCTTCCATTATTTGTTTGCTAAATCCACCCAGCTAAGATCATCAGCTGAGCACAACATAGTACACCCTTGAGTTTGAGTAAGGCATATTCTAATGGGATACTCACATTTTGACGGAACTTAAGACAGAATAGTACAAGCATTCTAACTGCTCTCACCAATACCTGTGTGCATATCAAACCAAGAAATTTCTCCCAGAGGTTTGGGGAGGTGGAGGCAGATGACAAAAGCTTGATTTTTTAAAGTTTTAGGAGATGGCCTGGGAACCAAACATCTCTCTATATAAAAAGCCCCTTTCAAGTTTTACACATTACGAGAATTTAATACAAGTGACAACTACTGTCAGTCCCATAAGGAATGAGCTTTTAGTTATTCAAGATGAAGCAAGACAATTACTCAAGACTCAATGTTCAGAGAATCGGTGACACTTGGTCAAAGCTCTCCAAAGGTGTTTGTCTTCTACCAAAGGCCAGCGAAACAAAACCCAAATGTGAAGAGGCTATAGAGAACATTAAGAAGTTTCATATGGAACTGGATGTGTATGTTTCATGTTGCCTACTGGGCAGCTATTCATATCCATACATATTTTTCAAGATCTCAGGAAATGTACTTGTCTCTCCTCCTGACTGCTCTGCAAACACACCATAGCTACAGGAAAGCAATACTGAAATGAAAAGAGAAACAGGCAGGGTGATCAGAAAAATTCATTTCAACAGAACTCCCCTGGTCCACAACCAACATGGGACACTATGTGCCCAGATAGAAATGTTACTACAGCAACAGCTTCTCACCAAACTCCTTGCTGTACCTTTTTTTTACAGATAAATGCACTTCCAATAGACTATGCCTGAAACCAGGAGAGGATTTATTATTGAATTTGTACCCCAATCTTTAGTCAAAGAGCAGCTAACATACAACCAAAACAAGGCAGTCCATAGTACCAGGCTTGGAATCTTAAAAAACGCGATATACAAGGGAAGAAGAATGGGAAGGGAAGAGGAAAATAACAACAAAAACTCAGGCACCAGTTTCTAAACACTCATTCCTATAGTGGCTGGCTGGCAGAGGGCAATAGGATAACTTGTAATGGCAGGCATAGGAAAGCTGCCTTGTACAGTTAGATCCTTGATGCCTTTAGCAGCTCAGTGCTGTCTATAATGATTGGCAGCATCCATCCAGTGCTGCAGACATGGAATGTTTCCCAATCATACCCAGAGTTGTTGGGACTTGAACCTAGAACTTTCTGCATACAAAGCAGAAGCTATACTGCAAAGCTGCAGCCCTTCCCAACCCTTCTACAGCAGAGACAGCAGGCACATTTTAAGAGCTGGAAGTCCCACATTCATCTCACCTCAGCCACAAACTCATTAGGGCTGCAATCCTGAGTATCTACTAGAAAGTAAACTACATTGAACATCTCAGGACTTATTCCCAGGTAAACATACATGGGTGGGCAGCTTAAAGCAAACCATTGTGCCCTAACACTCAGATTTGCAACAAGGGGGAAACCAACTGGCCGTGCAGGGCAAGGACAACTGAATAACACACAAAACCCTGGGCATCTGAAAATGTGCTAGCTTAGTGCAGCTAACAATGAAGCTATTGTGAACATAAGAGCCTGCTGAATCGTTGCAGCAGGCTGCATTAGATGACCTTCAGGAGTCCCCTTCAACTCTACAATTTGGTGATTCTATGAATCAGGCGAAAGGCTCATCTAGTCCAGCATCCTGTTCTCACGGCGGCCAACCAGATGCCTGTGGGAAACCTGTAACCAGGATTCTAGCATAAAAGCGCTCTCCACCTCCTGTGGTTTCCATCTACTGGAATTCTGAAGCATTGCTGTATTACAAACACATGAACTCTTGTTTTTACGATGACATCCTTATGAAGCCAGCAAGGCAATGCATGGTATCAAGGAATAAGTCTCACTGAATGCTATGGGTTTTCCTTCCAAGAACAGGTGCTTAACGCAACAGCTCTACTCGTCAGATATTCTGCTTGTGCATGTGCATGTGTCGGTGGAATTCAGTACAGGTTTGCTTGGGTGTAAGCCCCAGCGACCTCAATGCAGTTTCCCTGTAAGTCAGTCCCATCTCCAAACCGCGAGTTTAGGCCTAGAGCGCCCAGGTGTAGACACGAAGACTTAGGACACGTGGGCCCACCTCCGCCCAGGTGGGACTTAGTAGCTGACTGACCTTGCACCGCTCCCCGCCCCACGCCCAGCAGCCCCTTCCCCTTGCAGACCCATCTCACAAGGCTCCTGCGAAGAGCGGGAGAGGAACCTTGTACTTGGCGTCGAGCCCCCTGGAAGAGAAAAGTGCGCGGTCAACCTCAGCGAACGACCAAGCGGAGCAGCAGAAGCAGCAGCAGCAGCAGCTGACCCGCAACTCGGCTGCAGGGCCCCCCGGAAAGGCCGGCGCCGGGGCGCAATGGCCATTGGGGCTGCGGGTGGGGGGTGAGGGAGGGAGGGAGGGAAGAGCAGCCTCCCCTTTAGTTCCTGGGCAAGGAGAGAGGGAGGGCTGGACTAGATGACCCCTGGGCGACCCTCCCAGCCCGGCTCCTCTGAGGGGCCGCCGGAGGGGCGAGGGCGGCAGGTCCCCCCGAGGCCCCCCGCCCGCAGGGGGAAGCGGGTGTCCCGGCCCCCGCCCAGGGCAGCGAGGAGCGGTTCCCATGGCAACCCGGCCCTCCGGGAGGGGGGTGTGGGGCGTGGGACTCACCCGGGCGGCTGGGCAGGAAGGGGCGCCTCTCGGCCGGGGCGCAGCTCCTCGCTCGGCGTCGACCGCCCTTTTCCTCCGGAGGCTCCGCAGCAGCAGCAGCAGCAGCAGGAGGAGGAAAAAGAAGACGCCGCGGCCGCCGCCGCCGCCGCCGCCGCCGCCAAGCTTGACGCAAGCACGCACGAACGGCGCCTGACGCCCGCGAGACCGGCGTTTTATGCCACGCCCTCGCCCAAACCAAGCGGCCCGCCTGCCCTTTTGGCCGCCGCGGCGGCCGCTTACTGCGCATGCGCCCTGATTGGGGTGGTTTTTAAAAAACCCAACTAATATGGCGACTGCGAGGGACTCGACTTTCCCTCACGCGCCTTTGGTGGCGGGATGGAAGGAGTAGTAGGGGTTAACCAGTCTCGCGCCTGCGCAGAAAAGGGAGCGGGAAGAGGCGGAGTGGCTAGCGCGCGCTCGTTCCCAATGGAGGAGTCCCGCGCATGCGCTGCTGCTGCTACTGCTGCCGCCGCTGCAGGTTTTGTTTCGTTTGATTTTGTTAAAGAGGATGCGGCGCGCCTGGCTGTTTGAAGGGGTTGAGCGGTTTTGAGCATGCGCCTCTCTCCCGATTATAAATGTATTTGTTTAATCCCACCCCGGACATTTAGTGGGAATAACGCAGCTGGACCCGTCAGCGGTTAGGGGCATGTGGGAGTGTTAAGCACTGGTTGCACGGAATGTGTTTGCGCACCTCCCCCCCCCCCCAGAAAAATACGCCAAGCCAAAGTTTTGTAAAAAAGAAAAGAAAAGCTAAATCTCACTCTCCAAGGGACAAAATAACCAGGACTGTGAACTATCGGATCATGGCCCCTGAAGGCGCGCGGGGGGGGGGGGGGAGAAGTGTTACCTATCACTGGTCAGTGGGACAAAAAAGGAAAGCGACTCTCAGGCTTCTGGTGCATGTTCAGAGGAGAGATGGCATAGGAGAGGGGCCACCACCGAACAAGGCACCCCTTGCGCTCCCTGCCTCGTGGCTTTTTATGGAGGGCAGGCAGCGAGCAGAGCCGCTCCTGATGACCGCAGTGTGCAGGCGGGTCAATATCTTGGCAGACAACCCCGGACAGTTTAGGCTCTTACCTGCTAATGGCAAGGCCTTGAATTGGGGCCCAGTAGCTTACCAGCAAGCCAGAACAGCATGTCCTAGGTTGGCCGGGCATGAACCCTCAGTGGGCCACCTGCTGGGCTGCAGCATTCTGCACCAGCTTCTGGGCCATCTTCAACAGAAAACATATTGCAGCAGTCTATCCCAGAAGTTACCATGGGGTGCTGGGACTACAAAACAGCCATAGCTGGTGAATCAGCTGTAGCCAGGCAAAAGTGACGCTCGCATCAGAGGCTACATAAGGTTGCAGTGATCATTTGAAATTGAGGAGCTCCCCAAGCTATGCAGCTGCTCCTTCTGGGAGCATGCTGACCCACTAGCAAAACAGGTCACATTCCCAATGCTTGGGCCCAAGGACCACCATTCACCCCCAGTACCATTCAGCTTCAAGTTTATCAGCTCAGCTGCCAGGTAAGAGTGCATAAGTTTGTATCCTGAAGCATTTATGGTTGTTTTGAACTATGTCATATAGCAGACCTGTGAAAATCAATAAACTATGCCCATTAGTTTAAATGGCTCTTCAGTGCAAGGGAGAACACCCTAACAACATCCATGGCCCACTCCCTCATTTCTTTTCTTGTATTTCACCACAAATATCAGGAATATAAAAATATGTAAATTGCAAATTGGATACCATTTGCTTAGATGTATCATTCTTCTTTAGTCCAAGTTAGAATAAATAACCATACACATTTGACCAAATACAGTAGTTTGGGAAGGTGGTTGTTCCTTTTTTTGTGTTTTGTTGTTTTCTTTTGTTTTGCTCTGTATCCAAGTCTTAACAGGAGAGCTGGAATATCCAGCACCCTCCAGAAGTCTTTGTATAAAGCAAGGACATCCTCACACCCTGCCCCGCAATTTCCCATTAGAACCAAGCTGACCACAGACAATGCAGCCAGCAAATTAAGCCTGTTTTCCCACTCCCTTGAATATGATGAAGTTTCTGGGTGCTAAACAACAAGAAAGGACAAGAGAGGGTGAAAATACTCTATTGCAGGAGATAATAGTGGGTGAAGATTTGGATTAAAAGGTCTGGGTGCACATTCCTCACTCGTGTATGAAACTTCCTCAGTGACTTGTGACAGTCACTCCTTTTCAGTGTTCCTTACAGGGCAGTTGGGAAGATAAATTGGGATAACCCAAGCTTGCCACCTTGAAATCTCTAGAAGAAGGGCAGCATACACATGACATGATAATGCATTGTCTTAGCTGCTCCCTTAGACAGAAAACAGATCAAATGGATTCCTGCTCCACTGTTGTTGATTTATCATCACAGTTTATCATTACTGCTGCTAGTGCAAATGTTCCCTAAGCCTACTTTGCATATATCTGAGCTATAAGTGAATTGTCACAGACAACTGCACACTTTGCCTTTGGTTGCTATGTCATCCCACTATTTACCGGTATCTGACTCTCCAAGGGTCGTTGGACTCCAGCTCCCATCAGTCCCAGCCAAGTTGGCCCCAGTAATCAAGGATGATGGGAGTTGCAGTCCAGCAACAATTACAGACCCTCAAGTCCCGCATCCAAGGGTAACACTCCATGTAGATGATGAAGTCTACAAAAGATTTTGCCATAATAAACTTGCTCACTGGAATTAGTTGTACAGGATTCAGTTATTTTACCTACCACTTACTTCTGGCTGATAAGTTCTGTGTAAGTCTAAAACCTGTGTATACACAGGCTCTCCTTTCATTTGTCTGCACCAGAGGCTAAAAGCACATTATGAAAACCAAAAACAGCTGGGCAAGGACTGCCCCCTACTGGGTAAGGATTAAAATTGCATGTGCTGCTGCCAAACACACTCCAGCAACACACCCTAAAAACTGCAAAAAGAAAAAAGATTGGCCTGAAATCAGGTTACAGAAATAATGGTGGCCTGCTTTATTATCATTTAGGTAAAGGTACCCCTGACCATTAGGTCCAGTCGTAAACGACTCTAGTAAAGCGACATCACTCATCTCGCTTTACTGGCCGAGGGAGCCGGCGTCCAGCTTCCGGGTCATGTGGCCAGCATGACTAAGCCGCTACTGGCGAAGCAGAACAGTGCACGGAAACGCCGCTTACCTTCCCGCCGGAGCGGTACCTATTTATCTACTTGCACTTTGGCATGCTTTCGAACTGCTAGGTGGGCAGGAGCTGGAACCGAGCAATGGGAGCTCATCCCATTGCAGGGATTCGAACCACCGACCTTATGATCGGCAAGTCCTAGGCTCTGTGGTTTAGACCACAGCACCACCCGCGTCCCTTATTATCATTTAGCAGCTGTTTAATCTGGGGCAATTTCTCCACTACCGCGACTTTAATTTACAGGCAAATTCCAGCATGTTACAATCAAGTTTATCCATCCTTTGTTAATTCACACAATAATAGACAATGAGAGATATAAAATGGTGCATTTGAACTCAGCATCTCAGACATGATTCCCTCAATATGAATGAGGGTTCATTGGCAAAGTTGTTCTCTTGTTGAAAATCATAGCCTAGTATTGCAAACAGGGGCGACGTAACAGAGGTCTGTGCCTTTAAGACTTACAGGTGCTCTCAAGATGGAATCAAACCAGAATCTCCCCCAAACCAAAACTCTACTAAATGAAAGATACACTATTTTATCATCACAGATGACTGCCTTTTAAAAAAAATTCCCCAGGCTAGAGGAAAAGAGGCTAGAGGAAAAGAGGAGAGACTGTCCATGGCATTAAACTTGGGATTTGCAAGCAGTTTGCATAGTGGTTAAGAGTGTTGGACTAGGACTGGGGAGACCCAAATGGAAACCTCTGCTCAGCCAGGAAGCTCATTGGGTGACCTTGGGTCAGCCATGCTCTCTCAGCCTGAACTACCTAACAGGGATGTTATGAGGATAAAAGGGAGAAATGGGGAGAACTCAGGGGAGGAAAGGTGGAGCATAATAGATTAGTTAACTAAAATAAATCTTTTAATTTGGATTTGCATTAAATAAAACAAATGCTCAAATTTTGAAGAAAATCATGTGATGGCTGGCCTGAAAAGTGTATTTTCAGCATCTCTAGATCTTTAGCACTCTTTGTATTCAAGGCTTTCTCTGCATCCAGCTCTCCTTTAGCATCCTCCAGCTCTTTTTGTATTTTTCTCATTTCCATATCATGACAGAGCTTCATGTTTTCTGTGAGTAACTTGTTTTGAAAATCTTGCCGCTCTCTGAATTCCTTTAACTCTTCTTGTAAATCCTTCTTCTGCAACTTTAAATGCGTGACTTCTCCTCTTGTTTGTTTCAGTTCCTCCTTTAAACTTCTGGTGCTGTCTGATTTCTCAAGTAGGCCTTGTTTAAACACTTCAATCTTGGAATCTCTTTCGAACCTTTGCCTTTGAATCTGCTCCAGCCAGCCAGTTTTACACCAAGCTTCTGTTCTGTAGTCGCTCAGCTCTTGCGTCGCTTGTTCAGATTCTGCCACTAATGTTTTGTATTTGGCTTTAAGTTCCACCAGCTCCGCCTTGAGAAGGGACACCTGAAGCTTTAAAGAGATATTTTCCAAATGTTCCTTGCACACCTCTTGTCTTAAAACTGCCAGTTCCTTTGTATTCCAGGTACAATGACCTCCTGTTTCAGCTATCCTTTCTCCTGATTCAACATCTAAATTAGCAGATCCCCTGCGGGTGGAATCCCCATCTTTAAACTCCTTTGAATTTTCTCTCTTTCTTCCCCAAAAGTTCAACTCCTGCTCGCTCCCAAGGAGTTTGGAGGGAGATCCTTTCCTTTGGAACTGTTGATCCTCATGAAAACTGGCCTTAGCCGTTTTGTTGTAGATTTGCTCAGTCCTTCTTGCCCTCTCCAAAGCAAACTTTTCACAAATCAGAGGTTTCTGGCTGATGGGACCCACTGAAGAAATCTTCCTTGCTGAAATAAGGAGGAAACAGCCTCTCCAGCCAAAGTTGGTTTGAGCTCTCCATCGCAAAGGCTGCCTCTGCACTGAATAAAAGAGAAAAGCAATAAAATTAAATCAGTAACTGATTGGAGGCTTTGGGGTCAATTAATTCTTTAAAAAATATGTTTTGCATGGTGTAGTGAGTGGAATACTGAACTAGGTGGTCTGGAGAAAATGGTTATAAATGCCCACACAGCTATGCACATTCCCCAGTACCAACCAACTTGGTCCTTCTCATTGGCAGGCAAGGCCTTGGGCTAAGCCACCCCAGAGTCATGTTTTGGTCCACCATGTCAGTTCAAAATGACACCTGGTATCTAGGCAAAGAGCACCAGCCCCCACCCCAGGAACCCTTATGCTATGTTTGGCAGTGATATCTCGAGTGGCAGCTGCACCTGTGCCGAAACAATGGGCACCGTCACATTTCGGTCTGGCATCATAATCTATATGACACCCAGGACCCTATCATCTCCCCCACCTTAGGAACTCTCGTGCTGAGTTTGGCAACAATATCTCGAAAGGCAGCCAAATCCATAGAGAACAGACGGACTGACAAATGGACAGACAAAGAGACAAAATTTATAGTAGAAGTCAGTGAGAGCAAATGGCAGTGTATTCAGAGTTTTACCACAATGCTGCCAGTAGTCCAGCCTGACTTACAGAAATAATCATATTCCATTTCTGATCCTCTTTTGATCACTGGCTTCCCAACTGGGCAGAGATGGCTTATGTATGCAAGACGAGAACTCCATGTTCATTAAGCACACAATAACTCCTCCTCCACCCCCCACCCCACCCCCCGTGCTCCCCTCGTTCTCCACTCTGGAATGGAAAGAGTTGTAGATTAAGCCACTTTGCCATTTACTCACAAAATTGTCTGCTTAGCTGTGCTTTTCCTATTATTAAGGAGCTCAAAATTTGAACTTTAGATGTTGCGGGAAGCCAGGAATATTTCAGTTGTATGTTCCAGGGAGCCTTGGTCTAAGGAACAACTTTATTTATTTATTTCTAGCAGTAAATATAGCTGGAAGGGGCTGTGGGGAGGAAGCAATTTGAATTAATATGATGCCTTGAGTCATATAGTATGGGATGCCTATAGGTTATGATTTTCAAGCACCACCTGGCTTGCCAGGTTCAAGAGGTTAAAATGCAGGGCATTGTGTGTGTGTGTATGTGTGTGTGTGTGTGTGTGTGTTGTGCATGAATTCCAGCTCCAGAAGAGGAGGTTTCCCAGGACTAACTATTTCCTTGTTCTGTTGTTTAGGGGAGAGCAAGAAGTTCTCACCAGGTCCTTTAACTGAAAATCCGTATGCAATAGTGTCTCTTCTCTTTCTCTGTGTATCTGTCAATTCTTCACCTTGTGAGTTTTGTGAATCTTCCCAGTGACACAGACTGATTCTTCAGTGGCTAAATTTAAACTTTTGTTTTATTTCCTTGTTGTTCCTATTTTCTGCTAAAGACCTCTAAAAATTTATGTGTAAAGTATTTTCTGTGGCTCCCCTCCCCCTCTTCTAAGCCACAAGATGAAACAAAGGCAGAAAAATTAAGACAGCTCCTTCCCTTCATTCCTCTGTTCCTAGAAGAATTTTGACAGTTGCACATTCAACAGGTGGAGCTTTTTCTAGCACTGGAGAGCAACTTTTGAAGGTGCGTCTTTTAAAGGCACAAAAGTCCTGCCTGAAAAACAACATGGCAGGCCCTGCAAAAAAACCCTTTTAGAAGAACCCTTGGCATGGGGCCACCGATACCCTGCTCCAATCCAGCCACCCTTATTTTCTTTAGCTGCTGCCATCACGACAGTGGCAGAAACCCCACTTAACTGCCCTCATCTCCAGGCCCCTAGTGCTTGGAGAGTATGTTCCAGATAGATACATTAGGTTCAACCTAGAGACAGGGCATGAGGAGTTGGGCATGAGCCTTCCCTGTCCTTACTTGGTAATCCTTATCAGCCTATCTCTGTGTGTCTCTGGGTCGTGGGTGTCTGAGTGTATGTACTGGATATGGGGGCCTGCCCTAGATCAACAAAATGGCTTCCTTGCTTAACATTTTAACTCTCAAAATGGCTTCACTGAGCACGTTGCCACAATAATACAGTGGTACCTTGGGTTAAGAACTTAATTCGTTCCAGAGGTCCGTTCTTAACCTGAAACGGTTCTTAACCTGAGGCATGCTTTTGGTAATGGGGCCTCCTGCTGCTACTGCTGCTGCTGCACTGCTGGCGCACGATTTCCGTTCTTACCCTGGGGCAAAGTTCTTAACCTGGAGCAACCACTTCCTGGTGCAGGCGACCTTGGGACGGACAGCTCACGGAAGAACCCCGACCAAACCTAAGAGGAGGCGTGTAGTGGTGATAGGGGATTCCCTACTGAGGGGAACAGAAGCAGTGATCTGTGGGCCTGACAAGATGTCTCGGGAAGTGTGCTGTCTCCCCGGGGCTAAGATCCAAGATGTAACTGAACGACTGCAAGGAATCATAAAACCCACTGACAAATACCCCCTCCTCTTGGTTCATGTGGGAAGCAATGACACTGCAAGCAATAGCCTCCAGAAGATCAAAAGAGACTACGAGGCTCTGGGCAGGAAATTGAAGCAATTAAATGCACAAATTGTCATCTCATCTGTCCTCCCAGTTGAACGACGTGGCCCAGGGAGAGAGGGAAAATAGTGGAAGTGAAAAGCTGGCTTCGCAAATGGTGTAAACAGGAACGGTTTGGATTCTTAGATCACGGACTGCAGTTTCTTGAAGATGGACTTCTGGCAAGCGATGGGCTGCACCTCACAACGGTTGGGAGGAATGTTTTTGCCAAAAAATCTCAGAAACCTCATCAGGAGGGCTTTAAACTGACTAATGTGGGGAGGGAGACAGTGCTCCTGAAGGTAGGAGTCTATCAATTGATGAAGATGATCATCCAAATGTCATAGACCAAATGGAGCAAACAGCACGCAGACCTAGTGGTGGGAGGAAAAAATCCTTAAATAAGAGACCCGGGGAAGGATTAATGGACTTCAATGTCTGTACACTAATGCGCAAAGCATGGGAAATAAACAAGATGAGCTTGAGCTCTTGGTACAGCAAACTAAATATGACATAATAGGCATCACTGAAACCTGGTGGGATAAGTCCCACGATTGGAATGTAATAATGGAGGGATACAATCTATTTCAGAGAAACAGACCAGACAAGAAAGGAGGAGGAGTGGCGTTATATGTCAGGGATGTGTATACCTGTGAAGAGATCCAAGATTTAGAACCTCAAAGCCAAAGTGAGAGCATTTGGGTCAAAATTAAGGGAGAGAAGAATAACAGTGACCTCATTGTGGGAGTTTACTATAGATCCCCAAGCCAAACGGAGGACATAGATGATGCCTTCCTGGAACAGATGGCCAAGCATGCAAAAGGAAGGGAGATAGTAGTAATGGGGGACTTCAATTACCCGGATATTTGTTGGATGTCAAACTCAGCCAAGAGCATAAGGTCAAACAGATTCCTCACCGGCCTTGCAGACAACTTCATTGTCCAGAAAGTGGGAGAAGCAACAAGAGGAACAGCCATTTTAGACCTGGTCCTAACCAATGTTGATGACCTGGTTAGTGGGGTAGAAGTGGAAGGATCATTAGGCGCGAGTGATCATGCTCTTCTGAAGTTTACTATATAGCGGAAAGGAGCAGCCAAGCATACCAGGACTTAATTTCTTGACTTTAAGAAAGCCGACTTCATAAAACTTAGGGAAGTGCTGGGTGAGATCCCATGGACAGTAATACTAAAAGGAAAGGGAGTTCATGATGGCTGGGAGTTTGTTAAGAGGGAGATAGTAAAAGCACAACTTCAGGCAATACCAATGAGACGGAAACATGGAAGGTGCCTAAAGAAGCCAGGGTGTCTATCTAAAGAACTTTTAACTGAGTTAAGATTAAAAAAGGATGTGTACAAAAAATGGAAAAGGGGGGAAACCACCAAAGAGGAATTCAAACAAATAGCCAGCACGTGTAGACACAAAGTCAGAAAAGCTAAAGCACAGAATGAACTCAGGCTTGCTAGAGAGGTTAAAAGCAACAAAAAGGCTTTTATGGGTATGTTCGTAGCAAAAGGAAGAACAAAGAAACAGAGGGGTCACTCAGAGGAGAAGATGGTGAAATGCAAACAGGGGACACAGAAAGGGCTGAACTCCTCAATGCCTTCTTTGCCTCAGTCTTCTCTGATAAAGAAAACAATGCCCGACCTGAAGAATTTGGAGCAAATGATTCAGCAGAGGAAACACAGCCCAGAATAACTAAGGAGATAGTACAAGAATACTTGGCTAGTTTAGATGTATTCAAGTCTCCAGGGCCAGATGAACTGCATCCAAGAGTATTAAAAGAACTGGCAGATGTGATCTCAGAACCACTGGCAGTCATCTTTGAGAATTTCTGGAGAATAGGCGAAGTCCCGGCAGACTGGAGGAGGGCAAATGTTGTCCCTATTTTCAAAAAGGGGAAAAGAGAGGACCCAAATAATTACCGCCCAGTCAGTCTGACATCAATACCAGGGAAGATTCTGGAGCAGATCATTAAGCAAACAGTCTGTGAGCACCTAGAAAGGAATGCTGTGATCACCAATAGTCAGCATGGATTTCTGAAAAATAAGTCATGTCAGACTAACCTGATCTCGTTTTTGACAGAATTACAAGCCTGGTAGATGAAGGGAACGCAGTGGATGTAGCCTACCTTGATTTCAGCAAGGCATTTGACAAGGTGCCCCATGATATTCTTGTAAAGAAGCTGGTAAAATGCGGTCTTGACTATGCTACTACTCAGTGGATTTGTAACTGGCTGACTGACTGAACCCAAAGGGTGCTCATCAATGGTTCCTCTTCATCCTGGAGAAGAGTGACTAGTGGGGTGCCACAGGGTTCTGTCTTGGGCCCGGTCTTATTCAACATCTTTATCAACGACTTGGATGATGGACTCAAGGGCATCCTGATCAAATTTGCAGATGACACCAAACTGGGAGGGTGGCTAGCACCCCAGAGGACAGGATCACACTTCAAAACGACCTTGACAGATTAGAGAACTGGGCCAAAACAAACAAGATGAATTTTAACAGGGAGAAATGTAAAGTATTGCACTTGGGCAAAAAAAATGAGAGGCACAAATACAAGATGGGTGACACCTGGCTTGAGAGCAGTACATGTGAAAAGGATCTAGGAGTCTTGGTTGACCACAAACTTGACATGAGCCCACAGTGTGATGCGGCAGCTAAAAAAGCCAATGCAATTCTGGGCCTCATCAATAGGAGTATAGCATCTAGATCAAGGGAAGTAATAGTGCCACTGTATTCTGCTCTGGTCAGACCTCACCTGGAGTACTGTGTCCAGTTCTGGACACCACAGTTCAAGAAGGACACTGACAAACTGGAACGTGTCCAGAGGAGGGCAACCAAAATGGTCAAAGGCCTGGAAATGATGCCTTATGAGGAACGGCTAAGGGAGCTGGGCATGTTTAGCCTGGAGAAGAGGAGGTTAAGGGGTGATATGATAGCCATGTTCAAATATATAAAAGGATGTCACATAGAGGAGGGAGAAATGTTGTTTTCTGCTGCTCCAGAGAAGCGGACACGGAGCAATGGATCCAAACTACAAGAAAGAAGATTCCACCTAAACATTAGGAAGAACTTCCTGACAGTAAGAGCTGTTCGACAGTGGAATTTGCTGCCAAGGAGTGTGGTGGAGTCTCCTTCTTTAAGGTCTTTAAGCAGAGGCTTGACAACCATATGTCAGGAGTGCTCTGATGGTGTTTCCTGCTTGGCAGGGGGTTGGACTCGATGGCCCTTGTGGTCTCTTCCAACTCTATGATTCTATGATTGTAACCTGAAGCGTCTGTAACCCGAGGTACCACTGTAGTAGGTAGATGGGAGCACACACAGAGAGACACTGCTGAAATGGCTGTCTGGGGCCCAACAATGAGCACATTAAGTGGTTTGAGCTGGTGAGGGACCCTTTGGAGGCAGTGAGGCCCTCAGCCAGCACTTTGCATGGCCAGCTGCAAGCTCTGGCCCTGGGCATTTCTCCCACTACAAGCCAATGAATGAACAGAGAGTCACACACCGCCTGATGGAGCTATCATTCACACGTCTTCCTCATTCATGCTGTGTGCATGCGTCTTGAGGGCCAAATTAGATGAGATGACAGAGAGCGAAAGTCAGACCTCTGATCCCTTTAAAAAAAATTTTTTTTAGCATATGCAGTAGAGATGGGGGCAGACGTGCTGAGTTGCCTCAGACATGGAAGGGGCCATCATGCATGAATGACATCACATGTGCGCCATCCCCTCCTCCCAACCTGGCCAGGCCAAATTGGGCCGCCACCCACCACCTTACCTTCGTGAAAGGGATGTGTTGGGATGAAGATGCTTCACCCTGGCGCATCTTTTTGAGGATCACTGTAGAATTTGGGGAGGGTGACCCCCTCCTTGAAAATATTGGTGGACCCTGGTCCCCCACCCCCCAGATGGTGCCCCAGGACAGGGTGATTTGGTTCAGGGCTGCAACACTTTGGGGAGTGTCACCTCGCACTCCTCCCCAGTCTGGGGAAACTTTCAGGTGCATGGGGGAAGCGGCTCTTTGGGGATTGGGGTGTTCATCACGAATATAGAGGAGTGGGGGCCGGATGGTTAGCCCTGTTCCCCGGCGTCACAGTCCTGATTCATTCTCCCTCGCCCCACAGCTTTCTACAAGAGATCTCACTCTGCAGCTCCATGTCTTCTCTAGCTTGGCCCTTGCTTTAATGCTAGAGAAGGGATTAGGGTTCTCAGAACCAGTAGGACTGGTTGTTACACCTGACTGAGGAGAGATTAAGGGGTGGTGTCATAATTAAAATGTATCTTGTACCTTTAAACATCGTTTTAGTTAGTCGGCAATGCTAAGAAGAAGAAGCACTAGGGCCAACTTGTGTATTTGGCAACCTAGTAAGTTAATGTTCATTACATACATTTATGCTTATCATATATTGTTATGTAGCGCTTTTAAAAACAGTGGCAGGGGGGATGATTGAGCCCCTCTTCCCGCATGCTCTTGTTACTGTTAAAATAATGCTGCACCCATCCAGCTTTTTCTGTGAATGGAGGAGGCATGTGATAAACACACACACACACACACACACACACACACACACACACACACACTTTCTAAAGCTTACAAGCCTACGCAGCTACCTGAAGCCTTTTTTGATTGGCCAGCCATTGTCTTGCACTTTTCTTTTCTTTAAAAAAATTGATGCTTTATCTCAGTCCACCATGCTGATACATTATATCAATCCTTTTACAGTGGTACCTCGCAAGACGAATGCCTCGCAAGACGAAAAACTCGCAAGACGAAAGAGTTTTTCGTTTTTTGAGTTGCTTCGCAAGACGAATTTCCCTATGGGCTTGCTTTGCAAGACGAAAACGAAAACGTCTTGCAAGTTTGTTTCCTTTTTCTTAAAACCGTTAATACCCAGGGTGAGCAGCAACTCATAGCACGCGGTGTGGTAGCCTTTTTTGAGGTTTTTGAAGACTTTGCTGATTTTGAAGACTTTGGGAAACCGTGCTTCGCAAGACGAAAAAACTTGCAGGACGAATTAATTTCGTCTTGCGAGGCACCACTGTACAAGTAAGTACATGGATGTCATAGCACCATCATGGCTGCAGCTGGGCTGCGACATAACATCTTGTCATGTATATATATATATATATATATATATATATATAAATAAAATTTCAACAAAAGGGCATGCTAACAACGCTGGTGAGAGTCCTGAAGGGGATGATATTGTGTCAAGCCAAAATGCTGCAGCTGCTAAGGAGTAGTAAAAAGATGAAATGAGAAGAATGGTAGGATCCCGGTTCACATGATGCTATGGCAAATAAAAGGTGTAAACTTAAAGAGATGCCCTAACGCCATCCTGCCCCCACTCACCTCAAAGGACTCACCTGCTGCCCCTGGAGCTGGCTTCCATTCTCACCGTTGCCCCAGAGGCTGCAAATGGTTGCTAGGGCTCCCATAGCAACAGCGCTGAGGCTGTACTGAGAGAGGAAGGGCCTCCCATCTCTCAGGGTGTGAGCACCCCCTGCTCTGAAGTGAAGCCCCGCTGGCTGCCTGCTTGCCTGCCTTTGCAAAGCAGCCTCCTCCTCCCCCTGGGGCTTTGCAAAGTCTGGTCGAGAGGGATGGTTTTAAAGCACTATGGTACCACTTTTGACAGTCAGGGTTTCCCCCCAAAGGATCCTGGGAACTGTAGTCTCTTCAGGGTGCCAGGAATTGTTAGGAGGCCCATTTGCCTCACAGAATGGCAATTCTCAGAGTGGTCTCGTCCAACTGTCAATCTCTATTTCCAGGAAGCTGGGGGTGGGGATGGTGTCTCTCAACAACTCTTAGCACCCTTAACAAATTTAAGCTCTCAGGACTCTTTAAACCATGGGAAGGCAAACTAAGGCCCAGGGGCCCCGGATGCAGCCCAATCGCCTTCTCAATCCAGCCTGCGGACAGTCCGGGAATCAGTGTGTTTTTACTTGAGTAGAATGTGTGCTTTTATTTAAAGTGCATCTCTGGGTTATTTGTGGGGCATAGGAATTCGTTCAGCCCCCCCCCCATATAGTCTGGCCCCTCACAAGGTCTGAGGAATGGTAGACCGTCCCCCTGCTGAAAAAGTTTGCTGACCCCTGAACAGCTTTTGAAAGTGGAAAGCTTTAAATGTATGTTGTGAACGAGGCTTTGCATAAAGTCAGGGTTAGGGCTATGAATGTGTCTCAAATGCAAACAGGACTTGTCCCCGTTTTACTCTTTCCTGACCCCATCATCACTGCCCCTTATTTTTGTCCCTTTTCGGTGTGTTGGGAGGGGCACACTCTGTTGATTTTTTGTTAGTTGGTCATTTGGAGGCCAGAACGTGTAAATGATCCTGTTTACTCTGCATCCCCTGCAGTCCCGCTGCTAGCTGCCTGCCGTTGTTACATCTGAAATGAGCAAAAACCTGACGGCAGTTTTTAGCTGCACACCTGCACTTCTATAAGTTTTTCTCCTGTGTAGTTAACATAGTGTTGGTTTTTTAAGAGAAAAGCATACTGTTCAATGCAGTTCAAATTTGTTTTACATTAAATGCTTTAGTTTTCTCAGCAAAAGAAGGCACCAAACATTTACTGACTCTTCTGCCAAAATTTGCATTTGTGGCAAATATAGACTGATTATTTAATGGCTTGTAACTGCTTTTAAAGTCCTTCTCCTTGCAAACTTTTGCAGAGCAAAATGGTATCTGTTTCTTACCCACCTTTGGTGTCCTTTCAAGCTTGCCTTTTTATATAGGATACTTAAGGGAAAGCAACAAAAGGTTGCACTCTCCCTGACCTTTGAACTCTGTGGCCATTGGGGGACCCAAAGGGTGGGGGCATGGAGGAAGGCTATTGTCCAGGCCAATAAGGGTCTTCAAAGAGCACCAGAAGCTCACAATGTAACCTAGCGCTCTTTGTGTAGCTGTTCGTGCCTGTGACTTGTGTCATCAGGATTCTGCTGCTGCACCCTCCTATGACAAAAGTTAAAGACGTACAGTCTCCTCAAGAAAGTATAATGTTTGCAGGTGCCACTGCATCTTCAGGAACTAAGCATACAGGCGTGGCAGATGGCGAGGCAGTCTGCGGGCAGGGAGGGTCTCAGCCTGCATACCAGATGGAGCTGCTCTGGACACAGAATTGACCTGCACCTCCTTGGACAGCTGCGAGTCCAAAATGACTCCCAGGCTGTACACCTGGTCCTTCAGGGGCACAGTTACCCCATTCAGGACCAGGGAGTCCTCCACACCTGCCCGCCTCCTGTCCCTCAAAAACAGTACTTCTGTCTTGTCAGGATTTAACCTCAATCTGTTAGCCGCCATCCATCCTCCAACTGCCTCCGGACAGTCATACAGGACCTTCACCACCTTCACTGGTTCTCATTTGAAAGAGAAGTAGAGTTGGGTATCATCCGCATATTGATGGACACCCAACCCAAACCCCCTGATGATCTCTGCCAGCGGCTGCATGTAGATGTTGAAAAGCATGGGGTGGAGGACAGAACCCTGAGGCACCCCACAAGGGGTCTGAACACTCATCCCCCACCACCACTTTCTGAACATGGCCCAGGAGAAAAGAGCGGAACCTCTGTATAACAGTGCCCCCAGCTCCCAGCCCCTCTAGACGGTCCAGAAGGATGTTATGGTCGATGGTGTCAAACACTGCTTAGAGATCCAGCAGAACTAGGAAACAGCTCTCACCTTTGTCCCTAGCTCACCAGAGATCATCGACCAGTGCGACCAAGGCAGTTTCAGTCCCATGATGAGGCCTGAATCCCGACTGGAAAGGATCCAAATGGTCCGCTTCTTCCAGGCGTGCTTGGAGTTGTTCAGCAACCACTCGCTTAGTCACCTTGCCCAAGAATGGAAGATTTGAGACTGGGCGATAGTTGGCCATATTGGCCGCAACTAAAGATGGTTTTTTAAGAAGCGGTTTGATAACCGCCTCTTTCAGCGGGTCTGGGAAGGCTCCCTCACAGAGAGAAGCATTCACCACCCTGCAAAGCCCGTCTCCCAGCCCTTCTTGGCTACCTTTTATAAGCCAGGATGGGCAAGGATCAAGGAGACAGGTGGTTGGTTTCACTCATCCAAGCAGCCTGTCCACATCCTCGGAGTAAGAGATTAGAATTGATCCCACGCAACTTGACTAGACAGGACTCTAGCACTCTCCCACCCCGGCCCTGCTCCCATGGTGGAGTCTACCTCTTCCTGAATCTGAGTGACTTTATCTGCAAAAAACTTTGCAAAATCATTGCAGGAGATCATGTGACCTGTACTGGGCCCTGATGGAGCAGGGGCGAACCACCTGAAAGAGTCTCCTGCTGTTGTTTTCTGCAGATGCAATAGAGGCGGTGAAGAAAGTCCTCTTTGCCGTCACTATCGCCACTTGGTAGGCTCGACATTGAGCTCTAACCTGTGACCAGTCAGATTCAGAATGAGTTATCTGCCGGCGGCGCTGTAGCCGTCTCAGTGATTGTTTCATTGCCCTCAGATCCGTGGAAAACCACGGGGCTGTCCGGGCTCCATGCAATCGGAGAGGGCGCTTCGGAGCCAGAGAGTCAATAGTCCTGTTTAACAGCACATTCCAGCGGGCCACCAGGGAATCAGCTGAAAGGCCATCAACATGGGATAAAACATCCCCTACCACTCTCTGGAAACCATTTGGATCCATTAAGTGGCGGGGGCGGACCATCCAAATCAGTCCCACCTCCCTGCAGAGGGGAAGGGTTGTGGAAAGTCCAGTTGCACCAGGAAGTGATCTGACCATGGCACTGCTTTCGTTTCGCTTTTACTTAGTGTCAGATCACCAACATCCATAGAGGTGAACACCAGGTCTAAGGCATGTCCATGGCTATAAGTTGGGCCAGACTTATTCAGGGACAGCCCCATGGAGGCCATGCTTTCCACGAAGTCCCAAGTGACCCCTTGTAAGGTTGTGTCGGCATGGATGTTAAAATCCCCTAGGACAACCAAACTAGGTGTCTCCAGAAGAACATCTGCCATGACCTGAAGCAGCTCAGGCAGGGAATCCTTGGTGCAGCGGGGAGGTCGGTACACCAAAAGGAATCCTGTACTGCCCCCTATTGCCCAGCTTCCAGAACATGCACTCAGAGAAGTGGGTCTTCCCAATAGGACGCCTGGTGCAGACTAATTACTTCCTAAAAATCACTGCAACCCCCCCTCCCCGCCCACAAGGCCTGGATTGCTGTGTATAAGAGAAACCTGGTGGACAAGCAGCGGCAAGGACAGGCCCATCTGCTTCATCCAACCAAGTCTCTGTTACACAGGCCAGGTCAAGTCCTCCATCCATGATCAAGTCATGGATGGCAGTGGTCTTATGGATCATTGACCTGGCATTGCACAGCAGCACCTTCAGGTTGCGTGGCTATCCTTTGCTGATTCCAGTATCTGTCCGGACAAGACCAGACCTGGAGGCAGGGATAGTCCTCAAACAATGACTAAACCTGCCTCCTCAGTAATGACATGGTGTGGTCTTAGCGTAACTCCTCCTCCTACCTGTGATCACTGATTGTCCCAGTGCATCCCCCCTGTGGAACATGCCCCGACTATTTTGTTGACTGGGACCCACTCCCAGGCAGCCCTGACCCCTCCCCTTAAAATCAAATTAAAACCTATACAAAAAACAAACTAACAAAATAAAACAAAACAAAATAAAAACCAAAACCAGTAAAAGTTACAGACTCACCAAAATTAAACAAATTCCTACACCTGACTAAACATCCATCCCACCCCACACACCCGAGGCCTCCTTGGAGCCTTATAGGCTGCGGTGGTGAGTATGGGGCCCACTCCCAGGCCCAAGGTGGAAAACGGGCTTCAAGGAGGAGCGGTCCTCCCCAATACTCACAGGCAGAGCAGCAGCAGCAATGTCCCGAGGCCTAAAGATACCCCCCCCAAGTGCAATTACTTTTGCATTTGCTGATCAGGAGTGATCCTGTGGATCTACACAGGATGTAAAGAGTCCCATTTGCAAAGTAGTTTGCTGTCATTGTGGTTTAGCAAGGGGGGCAGCATGCTCAAAATGTGTTGACTGCAGAGTCTACTGCAAGAATAAAAACAAACACACTGCCCGCCCCCCTCCCCAGCCCCTCTACCTGCCAACCCCTTTGCCAGCTGCCCTTCTCTCACACCTGACCAAGCCCTCCCATCCCCTGCCCTTTACATCTCAGCCCCCTCTATACCCTCACCCCTCCTTCCCTTCCGCTCTTCTCACAGCGCCCCCCCAGCCCCACTCCCTTTCAGAGGAGGCTTGACAGAGCAGCTTGCGCTAAACCTGCAGCTGACTGCCAGGTCCCTTTGGATATGCTTATCAGTGGCTGACTCTCATTGCTTTTTAAAATGGGTTTCCATACCATTCTCCTTTTTATTGGGATGGCCAGGACATGCGCATTTTAACAACGCAAACATTTTG